ATGCTTGACTGCGGGAGTTTCCCAGCGCCCCCTGGAGGCGGGACCGGGGGTGGCGCGGCCCGGGGGCTGGGTGTGGCCGGGGTGTGGGTAGCGGACCTGGAGGAAGGCCTTGGCTGACCCCAGGGGCCTCCAGAGCCGTTGATTTCGGGGTCCCGTGCCTTCGCTCTGCACACTTAATTTTACGAGATTTTTCCTAGGTGGTGGGTGCATCTGCTCTTTTCTCTTTAAACAAAGAACCTACTTGTTGCTTTCTTTCTGGTTATTGAAGTGGCACGTGCCAGCCTTCTCGATTCAGAGAAAACCTGAAGGTATAAATAGGAAAGTGAAAGCCACCGGAAACCCCCGCCCCCGCCCCGGCACCTGGCGGCTTGTGGGCGTCACAAATGACTGTTTTTGGAGACGTATCTATTTAGCTTCCTGTTGAATACATTTTCTGATATTATTTTCCTACAAAAGTTATTAATTTAAAAAGACACCAAGGGTTTTTTGAGCCCCCGCGGCAAGGGAGGCATGACCTCACCGGCCGCTCACAGCAGCGGAGGCCGCGGGTGGGACTTGCCCGTGATGCACCCTGACTCCTTCCCGCCCCTCCCCCCATGGTCCTACACCCCCTTTTTCAGATGAGAACAGACACTGAGAGCAGAGAAGCAAGGCTCTGCCTCGTCCTGCCTCTGAACCCGCCTTTGCCCGCGGAGCGGTGTGACCATGGGCAGGTGGTGACCGCTCTGGCCTCAGTTTCTCCCCATCGCACGCAGATAAGAGAAGTCCCTGCAGCACAGTGGGGGGTGAGGACAGATGCCACGCGGGGCGAAGGCCAGGCGGTGCCCGTGCTCTGGTGATTAACCGGCCTGAGGCACCTGACTGCAGCAGGACCTGCCAGGCCCCCTCAGAACCCCACCCTTTCCCACCGCATCTGTGGGCAGCTGGCCAGGGAGAGGCGGGCTTGGAGGGCTTGGCTGGAGGCCAGCTCCTGGGCCCCTGCTGCCCTCTAGTGGCCCACTCTGGCCCCAGTCGTTCCAGTAGCTCCAGGTCCAGTCCCAGGCCGGTGCCAAGCCCAGAAAACTAGTCCTGGGAGATCCCCAGCCCCCTCCAGCACCTGGTGAAAGGGCTTAGCTGACATACACTGGGAACTCCCTGTGCTCCAAGGACCGGCTGTGTGAGGGGGCCCGTCATGGAACCTCTCTGTGCTTGCTTCCTCATCTGTAAAATAGCAATAATAATAGTGCCAACATGGTTAGAATTAAACATGTTAATACACGTAAGGCTCGCGATAGCGCCTGTCCAAGTGTTTGCTGGCCTTCTTCTCATTACACTGAGTTGGTCTGTGGGTGTTGTGGATCCGAGGGCATAAAACATAAAGGAAGTGACATTCTACAGTTCACGTTACTTTATTGCAGAAAGGACAGGCTGGAGCGATGGAAACCCCAGACAAGTGGTCCCGAGGCATCATCCCACCAACCCGTGTTTACGTCTGTCCACGTGACTCCCGGACCTCATCCGTGTGCAGAGCCAGTGACTGTGCGTGCACAGAGGTTCTGTCCTGCATTTCTCACCATGTGGCCACATGCATTATATACACCCCCCCCCCCCCGTTTTCCTCTCGCCCCTCAGGATCTTGGAGGATCTTGCCCGGACTCTGCTGTCCTCCTTACAGACAGGTGGCCGAGCTTCCCACAGGTCTTTCCAGAGAACGAGACAAGAGAGGTCCAGAGAGAGACTGAAGCCAGACTTCTGGTCCTGGCTGCAGGCTGATACCCGACTCCAGCCACAGAATGGCCTCTGACTCAAGCCATAGACTGATTCGTGACCCACACTGTGGACTTATTTGTGATCGTGGCTGTAGATTGGCCCAGGCACAGGCTGACCCCTAGCCCTGGCCACAGACTAATCTTTGACCCCAGTCGTAGGCCGATCTCTGAGTCTGGCCACCGGCGCCCTCACTGACACCCCACCCCATCCAGGAACTGGCATTTCCTGATTTGCAGCTGGTAAACTCAGCTTGAGTTGGTCAGCATATCTGGTCTGTCTGTCCTGCCTCTCTACCATGAGACCACAGGGCAAGCGGGCAGTTCTCTTTTTTAAGCGAAGAGAGCAGCGTTAGAAAGCCCCTCTGCAAACTTCCTTCTGCCCTGGATGGGAGGTCTGGTGCTCTGGCAGCCGTCTTGTGACCATGAGGAGAAGCGTGTGGGGATGAGAGACAGTGCTCTGAACCTGGCACAGGGGGAGCAGAAAAGAGCTTGCGTCCCTGATCGCTTCATCACGCGATCAAACCAACCTTGGGATTCTTAAATAAACCATGAACCTGCTTTTTTGTTTTGTTTTGTCGAAACCACTGTGGTGGTGCTCTTGCAACCATAAAGCAACCTTAAAGATTGTGGCTGGTGGAATAACGGGGCCTCCAAAGATATGCCCATCCCAATCCCCGGAAGCTGTGAACACGTGGAATCAATATTGCTAATCGGCTGACCTGGAGAGGTTATCTGGACGGGCCCCATGCAATCACGAGGGCGCTTATAAGAAAGAGGGAGGCAGGAGAGTTTGCGTCCGAGAGAGACTGCAAATGCTATGCTGCTGCCTGGGAAGACGGGAGACAAGCACGAGCCATAGAAGCTGGAAAAGTCAGGGGACGGGTTCTGTCTTCGAGTCTCCGGAAGGAATGCGGTCCTGGGGACACCTTGATTTTTTAGCTCAGTGAGACCAAGTTCCGACCTCTTACCCCTAGGGTTGTAAGGTAATACATTTTCATGTTTCAAGCCACTGAATTCGCAGCAATCTGTCACAGCAGCAAGGGGAAGCATTCTCCGTGCATCTGACTTTGGATTCTAGACACTCCAGCCTGCTTTTCCTCCAGCCTTGTTCCTACAGCCTCTCCCGCTCCCTCACCATTGGCCCTCAGTCGCCACTTCCAGAGGATTCTGTCGAATGTCCGCCAGTCCTACCTCCTCGGCATCCACCGTCCCTTCATGTCTTCATGGGCGGCCCCAGTGCAGCAGCACAGCGCAGTGGCGGGTGGACGCTGAAGCTCCCAGGCCCCTGACTTGAAATTCTTAATGATCTTACCTGTGCATCTGTGTTTGTAAGGCAAGTCCAATGGACATGGAGCACGCAGCAAGGATTCGCAGTCTCGGCTCCCACGTGGCCCCACCTCCACCCCCCGCCTGCTTCCCTGGGCAGGTTCCTGGCCACCTGCTCTTCCACCCCTTGGCTCTCTGGACACCAGTCAACCTCCCCCTGCCCACCCCGTCCAGCAGCCACACTGCCTTCGCCCGGGAGGGGGTCCAGGCTCAGGCACAGGGAGGGTCGACGGCACTGCTCACCTCCCGAGCTGCACGGTGGCTGGTGCCATCCTGCCGCAGGGTGTCTGCTGGGTGGCGAGAGGCCACAATTCAGCCAAGTCAGCAAGTCAAACCTGCTGCCCACTCCCGATATGGCAACAGAGTCACCATCTTGGATTCTTAGTACCTTCTGAACAAAAAGGCCTGCATTTTCATTTTGCACTGAGCCCCTCAAACTATATAGCCATTCCTGCCATAGGGTCTCCACAAAGTTGACCTGCCACTCCCTCTGGACCCCAAGCACCATCACCCCTGTGTTTCGGCTTCGTCCTTCCGCAGGCTTCTTCCCATCACTGCAGTCATCTGTCAAGTCCTTCCATCTGCAAACAACCAAAGTTTCCCTCCCCCACACTTCCTTCTTCTCCCTCTCCCTCCCGCTCCCTCTCTCTCTGCCCAGACAGTTCTCGAAAGCTGTCTCCCTGTCCCCACTTCCTCCCTGCACACCCACTCCTCAGCCCTCTGTGCAGAAGCTGCCGTCACTTCTGCCACGAAACTGCTGTCACTGCCGCCACCGCCAGTGCAGGCAGGTCTGCTTCAGTCCTATCTTCCTGCAGCACGACCTCCCCCTCGTCCCTGAACCTCTGCCCCTCGTGCTGCTGCTGCTGGCTGCTTGCTCCTGCTCAGGCTCACCTCCCAGGGTCTCTCCTCGGCCTTCCCTTAAACATCGGGGGACCTCAGGGCCCATCTTGGGCCTCACACATGCACACACATGCACACACTCCATGGGCAATCTCATCTGTTTCCATAAGGTTAACTACAACCTTTACTGAAACTATTGGAGTTTCATGGGGCAGGACTGTGTCACCCAGCAACCAGCACGGCGGCTGGCACATCGAGTGTGCTCAATAATCACTTGTTGAATGAATGAATGGTGTCTTCTAAATAGATCTGCCAGCCCAGATCTCTGGCCTGAACTCATATATCCATCTGTGTCCACATCTCCCACCCAGACATTTCACATCCTATCTGTGCACATCATGTCCAATGTGACATATGTGATGAGATAGTGTGTATTTTATTAAGTCCTTTCTTTCCTATCAGGTCCCCCCTCCTCCCCCCACTAGAAGGTAGACTCCTTGGGCACAGAGGTCTTTGGTTGATTGGCTCAGTGCTGTATCCCAGGGCCTTAGAACAGTGCATGGCACACAGTAGGTGCTCAATAAATACTTTCTGAGCAAATCAATGGATCTCCACATGGATGGCCCACATCTCAGCCCCAGTATACCCCGAACTGAGCCCTCCACGTCCGCTCACACCTCCTCCTCCAGGCCCTGGTCTCACTTGTTAAGGCTGCAGAGCAGGCGTCTCCCAGCCTGCCCGCCTCCTCCCCGCCCCAAGGAGATTCAGGTGCCGGAGTCTTCCTCCCCTCCAGCAACTGTGTTTGCACAAGTCAGTCTCCTCATCTTATCACCTAGATTCTGCCAATAGCGTCTTTCTTCTCAACATTCCCGCCACCAGGACCAGAGCTATTTTCCCGATCGCGTTATTTCCAGCTCACACAGCCTCCTGGCTCCGGTTAACCAAGTGTGGGGCGCAGGCCTCTGGGGTGACCCAGGTGAGGGACACACCCCTGAAGTCCCTGAGGTCACTTTAGGTGGCATATGGGTGTGGTGTCTAAGGCATTAAACCGAGAAAGTGATTCCTTTTTCAATTCTCTTTCTCTCCTTCTGACTAGCCTTCCCCAGGCCACACCACATGGAGCCAGAACGTAACAACTCACTTTTGGTTTTGTTGTGTCGTTTTACAGTTCCCTTCTACCTATGATGAATGCTGGTTGTCCATTCGTGACGATGGCAGTGTTGCTTTTAAAAATACAGTTATTGAAATAAAACAAGTAAGTCAGTATGAAGAAAAGGTTGAAGGGAATAATGACGGGGAACATGTAAATATGGAAGAAATAACCGTGGCAGTGTGCACGAGGGATGCAAGTTTGGGAGACACCGTCTACAGACCAGAGTCCACACCCTTTGCTTCCTGGCTCCTGGCTCCCTCCCTTCTCATTCTTCAGCCCATATCACACTCCCTGACCCCATGACCTATTACCTCTAGTCACTGTGACCTGTCACCCTACACACCAGGACCTGTTGTTACCGACCCAGAGTCCATGTGTCTGATTCTTCGAAAGTCCAGAACTTAAAATGTCAGTTTGGCTTTGGCCGGTGTGGCTCAGTGGGTTGGGCATTGTCCCATGTACCGAAAGGTTGCTGGTTGATTCCTGGTCAGGGCACATGCCCAGGTTGCCAGTTTGATCCCTGGTCAGGGTGCATACAAGAGGCAACTGATTGATGTTACTCTCTCACATCAATGTTTCTCTCTCTCTCTCTTCCCTTCCTCTCTCTCAAAGCAATGAAAACATTAAAAAAAATGTCAGTTTGAAGGAAAGGCTTATTGATCAAGAAGGCCCCAATTGAGAAGATGAGAGACCTAATCCTCAAATTCATCTTGCTGGACTAGGTTAAGGGTGTTTCAGGGGCTGGGGGAACAGGTATGAGGAAGTTTGTGATAAAATACTTGACTCATATCCATCTGTGTCCCAGGTGGAGAAGCTGGGAGACTGGCAAGTCTGGTGAGGGCATGGAAGCTGGTGGAGCAAGTTTTATTATTTTTAAAAAATATTTTAAAAATAATATTTTAAAAATATTGATTTTAGAGAGTGGAAGGGAGAGGGATAGAAAGATAGAAACATCGATGAGAGAGAAATTTTGATTGGTTGCCTCCTGCCCGCCCCCTACTGGGGATTGAGCCCACAACCTGGGCATGTGCCCTGGCAGTGAATCCAAACCATGACCTCCTGGTTCATGGGCCAACCCTCATCCGCTGAGCCACACCAGCGGGGCTAGTGGGCAAGTCCTAATTGGAGGGCCTGGACACTTGGCCATTTATGGTAAAGGGGCATCAGCGCTGGACCTGTCTGGAAATGGACCCTTCGCTTCTGAAAGGGTTCTTTCTGGTGTTCAAGTTCTGGTCATGTCCTACTAGTCCTTTGGTACGTGTGTGTGTGTGTGTGTGTGTGTGTGTGTGTGTGTGTGTGTGTGAGTGAGACTTTGGTCCCGTGTGCAGCTGGAGGTCAAAGTTCTCTCCTCTGTACATACTTTAGCTGCATGACTTGTAGTTTTGGTCTGTTGTCTCTGAAAAGCAAAGCAGTATTTTGTTTAAAAGGATAGAGCCATTTTGAGTGGATTCTGTGGTTACACTCGCACCCCTAGAATCCATGACCAAGGTACCCTAGGCACCAGGACCTGCACACCCTAGAATCCATGACCTGGTGTGATATTATGATATCTGGTCCTGGCTGGTGTTGCTCAGTGATTAGAGCATTAGCCTGTGCATTGAAGGGTTAAGGGTTCGATTCCCAGTCAAGGGCACATACCTGAGTTACAGGTTCAATCCCCACCTTGGTCAGGGTATGTACGGGAGGCAACCAATCGATGTTTCTCTCTCACATGGATGTCCCCCGCCTCCCCTCTTAAAAAAGAGAAATATATATTTGGTCTTTGCCCCTGTTGCTGGGGCAGAGCTCCTAAAACTCTTGGAATTTCCTAAGTGATGAGACCTTCAGTGTCTTTGGTATTTTAATGAGGTGACCTTTGGGAAGCCCCTAAGTCACCTAGGGATGAGGGCTGGTTGCCGAGGGAACCAACCATGTGATTAGAGGGAAACGGTCCATCTTACCCCTCAAACTCTGGCGGGGGGGGGGGGGGCGCGCTGAAGATTGATTTAATGCCAATGATTTGATCAGCCATGCCTGCGTAACAGAGCTTCTATAGAAACCAAAACTACAGGGTTGGGGGACTTCCGGGTGGTGAACAGGTGGAGAAGCTGGGAGACTGGCAGTCTGGTGAGGGATGGGAGCTCTGAGTCTCTGCCCGCGGTGTGTCCTGTGCATCTCTTCACCAGGCTGCTCCTGAGCGGTGTCCTTTCATAATCAGCCAGAGAGCTAGTAAATGAATGTGCTCTGAGTCTGTGAGCTG